ATATATATATATATATATACTCATTATGTTGGCCTAGAGGCAGAAGGTCCTAGCTACCCCATAGGAGAAGGATGGACAGTCTCCTTCCATGCAGTTAACTGCCTCTGAAAACCCATCGGAGGGTCAGCTATGGGTCAGTTCTGACTTGATGGTATATAACAATAATAACAACTCATTGTATATACATATATACTCAAATATATGTATGTGTATATATATATATGTACACACACACACACACTCACACATACATACATGCACACACACATACTCATTTAAATATATGATGTTGTTGTTGTTGTTGATTGCCTTCAAGTTGAGCATGACTCATAGTGACCCTTATGAACAAAAGGCCTGAAGCCCCTCTATAGCTATCGACAGTTTTCAAAATTCATAGAGTTTCCAGAGGCATATTGTTTAGGAAGTGGATGTCACTCCTCTCTGATATACTTGAGCTCATTGATCTTAGTATCGTCAAGGTCTTCAGACAGTAAAGTTGTTCACACTGATGGCCTGATTGATTGTTGTTGACCCAGGATTCTCATGTGCAAAAGAAAGTAGACACCTCTTACATAAAAATTTATTCTTACCATCTGAGCTGCTCTCCACCGAAGTCACCACACAGCCTCTTAGGTGAATTGCTCCCAGTGGATCTTCCCCCTAGAGGACAGAGTGTTGTTCCTCACACTTCCAGTATACAGTGCATGGACATGTCTCATGTTGCAGGCACAGAAGTCACATAGACCCATTCTGGTATCGATTAGACCCCAGGATAAGTAAGGGCAGAAGGAGGTTAAAGGAAGCCTGCTCTAGAGCAGTGGCTCTTCCAGATCCTGAACCCAGAAATTTAGTGGGCTCAGGGATGTAGGAGCTTCCAAGCTTTAGGAAGTAGTGGCGGAGGAGGAGAAGCTGTGATCAGCACCCTATTATGCTATTAAAGAATAGTATGTCTCCCAAGAACTCACTCTGATCCAACTCATCTAGTATCTTCCAGGAGGGAATTAAAGAACCCTGCACTATGAGCAGAGAGTGAGAATACAACTCAGGCAAACTTATTTTGTTGAGCAAAATCCTGCTCCTAAACAACCAAAATACAAATGTCAGGCTAACGCAAGTTTACATTCAAAATGACCTGAGAGTGGAATTAACCACTTTTTTGCATATTAAACTAAAAGTAAAGTGTTGGGCAGCTACAGTTATCTCTGTAAATACCAGATTAGGGGAAGACACAACATTGCATCACATTGACTAAAGAAATAATAATACAATGATGTTCTTTTTCATTCTTGTTGGCCTTCAAAATCCAACTTGGCAATAATCTCAGCTTATTGCAATGGTAGACTAAAGGCGGGGAGAATCAGGAAATGAAAGTGTGACAAGAGAAAAAGGATATCAACAGAGCAGAAAGGAGAATGGACAGCCCAGTTAATAAACACAGTTTCCAGTTGAAAGAGTTCGTTGACCACAGACTCTCACCCCAGCAGGATCATAGTAGTGTAGGTACGCAGGGTCTTCTCTCAGAACAAACTTTCTCACTTTCCAGTTTTTCCTCCTGTGCCCCTGTTTCCAAGATCAACAAAAGAAAAGATGAGTCCTTGGCATAAGTTTGTACAGTGGTAGCTGCATAATATTACACTTTGTACAATGGTGGTTGTTGTTATGTGCCATCGAGTTGTTTGCGACTCATAGCGACCCTTTGTACAAGAAGAGCTCTAAATGCTGTTCTATCCTGTGCCAACCTCGCCATCCCAAACGCACTTATTCCCACCACTCCAGTCACAGAATCGATCCATCTCATCGAAGGTCTTCCTCTCCTTCGCCGCCCCTCCACTCTGCCAAACATGATGTCCCTCTCCAAGAATCAGTCCCTCCTTGGAACATGCCCAAAGTATGTCAGAAGAAGCTTCAGAATCATCCTTGCCTCCAAGGAGCACTCCGGCTTCACCTTGGCAATAAAACCTGTTTGTTCTCCTAGAAGTCCATGGTATATTCAACACTCTTCTCCAGCACCACAGCTCAAAGGCATCAATTCTCCTTCTATCAACCCTATTCACTGTCCAGCTCTCTGATACATACATAGCACGTAATTGCGAAGACTATAGCCCAGATCAGGCTCACCTTAGTCTCTAGCCTGACGTTGTTGCTCTTCAGTACTCTTGAGCGGTCCCTCACAGCTGACTTTCCCAATGCAATTCATCTCTTGATTTCCTGGCTGCTGTTACCAAGAGTGTTGATTGTGGGGCCAAGCAAACTAAAACTGTTAACTATCTCAATCTCTTCACCATCCATACTGATGCTGCCAATTGGCCCAGTGGTGAGAATCTTTGTTTTCTTGATGTTGAGCTTCAATCCATACAGGAGGCTGCAGTCCTTGACCTTCTGCAGCAAGTGCTTCAGGTCCTCCTCAGTTTCAGTAAGCAGGGTTGTGTCATCTGCATAATGCATGTTGTTGATGACTCTTCCAGCAATCCTGATGCCACATTCCTCTTCGTACAGCCCAGTGTCTCAGGCGATCTGTTCTGCATACAAATTGAAAAGCTATGGAGACAGAATACATCCCTGATAGACCCCTTTCTTGATTTTGAACCATGTAGTGTCTCCTTGCTCTGTTCTGACGACTGCCTCTTGGTCCAAGTATAGGTTTCGCATTAGCACAATCAAATGTTCTGGGATTCCCATTCTTCTCAGAGTCAGCCACAGCTTGCTGTGATCCACACAGTCAAAAGCCTTTGCATAGTTAATGAAGCACAGATAGACATTCTTCTGGTATTCTTTGCTTTCTGCCAAGATCCATCTAACATTAGCTATAATATCCCTAGTACCATGACCTTTTCTAAATCCAGACTGTACATCTGGCAGTTCTCTGTCAACATATTGTTCCAAACGTTTTTGGATAATTGTACAATGGTAGCTGCATAATATTATTTGCTGAATTGGAGGGGGGGAAAGGAAAAGATAAATATAAGGCTAGGAGAATCAAGCTGTTCCTACCCTATGTACAAGAGTCCACAAGTGACAAAAATGGTTAACATACTAGGCTGCTATCCATAAGATTTGAATCTTCTCACTGAAAATATATAGTTCTACTGTGACACAGTTGTCACCTTGGGTCAGAATGACTTAAAGTCAATTGCTTACTGGTTATGTACAATGATGTACGTGTGATAAAGTAAGGAATACAGAGAAGCTTAAAATACGGTCTTTCTCTTTGAAGCGTTCATAATCTAATTACACATACAAAAATGCAAATGCAAAAAAATAAAACAACCAGTATAGATAGTTGAGTGAAAGGCATTAAACGAGGGATAAGTAACTATAGGCTTTGGTTGTCAAAGAAAGCTTCAAAATGACCTCCATCGATTCATATGGGTGGGAGCCCTGATGGCATGGTCCACAGGGAGTTACGCTGGTACACAAAAGTTGAGCCTCTTCAGTGGTTGAAATCAACTAGCAACTCTTCAGGAAAAAGATGGGTGATTCTTTGCTTTGTGATTTAAAGAGTTGGAAACCCAGAAAAGAGTCAGCTGTAAGTTGATTCTGACTTGATAGTAATGATTTTTACTTTGTAGGATACACAGGATTTAGAAAGAAGAGGGAAGACAGTCAATAATCAGAAAGAAACATTGGGAATGCTCAAGACAAACTTAGATATTGATACAAAACCCATCTGGCTTGAACATGGAGTTAATGAAAAGCAGCAGGCAAGGTTGGAAAAGTATGCAGAAGCTTAGAAAAAAAAATACACATTGGGGGCGCTTGTTGAGGATTTTTTCCTAAGAAGTGGCATTTATTAATTTTTTCCTTTTTAAAAATTTTTTCAATTTTATATTGGTTTCTGGAAGCAGGAGTGGCATCCACTTCTGAAATGACTTGCCTCTGGAAACTCTATGTACGAACAGTGCTCAGGCTCTTTGTTTATAGGGTCACTATGAGTCGTCTACGACTCGACGGCACCAAACAACAACAATATATTGGTTTACAAAGTTCATAAAATTCATATATATTGTTTTTCACACTAGATCTTTCCCCTTTAATTTACCCATCCCTCCACCCATCAAATTATGTGACCCTTTAATTAAGTGCCCTCTCCCCTTGGATCCTCATTCTCATCCTACAATAATGGCCTTATACAGTATTTGTCCTTATGAGACTGAGTTAGTTCACTTAGTATAGTGGCTCTCCAATCCCTCCCATGTTAGGTAGTAATTTACCAAATCATTGCTCCTGCATGCTGTGTAGTATTCCATTGTGTGAATGTACCATAATTTCTTAATCCATTCCTTTGTAGTTGGGCATTTGGGCTGTTTCCAGGTTCTTGCAATGGTGAATAATGATGCCATGAACATTGGTGTACAAGTGTCTGTATGTGCCTCAGTTTGCATATTCTCAGGGTATATTCCAAGCAATGGAATAGCTAGGTCATAAGGAATTTTTATGTTCAGCTTTTTGAAGAAGTGCCAAACTGCATTCCAGAGATGTACCATTTTACAATCCCACCAACAATGTATCAGAGTTCCTATCTCTCCACATCCTCTCAAACATTTATACTTGCTACCTGCATTTATTAATTTTAGATAGATTATTATGGTAACATTGTTCAAGATTGCCTAGCTGGAAATCTTTCTTTAAAGGAAAGATAACAAAGTGGAAAAAGAAGTTGTTAGAAAGTTATTCTAGCAATCCACATATAAAACGCTAAGAACTAGCTTTAGGTAACAGCAATGTAAAGGGGAAGAAATAGTGACTGTGGCAGACAGAATCACTGAAAGAAGGACAGGCCTTTCCCAACAGCGTTCAACACTGACAACTGTCTAGACTGGGCATGTTGAGGAGAGACTGTATCTTTTTATCTTTGCTCCCCAGTGCTCTGCATTGTGCCTGCCACCTGGAAAGTGCTTAATATCGTGTGCAGTTGTGAAGTTACCAGCTATTTCAATTATAGTCATTTTTTTTAAAAGTCTGATCTTATTGTTTCCCATCAAAAATTCAAATTACTTAAGTTATTCCAGAAAGCAAAAGACAAATTAGACTGAAAAATATAGAGCTTCCACTTTGTTAACATGAAGACTTGTTGTTGTTGTTGTTGTTAGGTACCATCGAGTCAAGTACAACTCACAGAGACCCTATGAACAAAAGATGTGAACTCTGTTCTATCCTGTGCCATCCTCACACTTTATGACACAGAAGTGCCCATTGCAGCAGTCACTGTGTCAATCCACCTGGTCGAGGGTCTTCTTCTCCTTCACCAACCCTCCACCCTTCCTAACATCATGTACCTCTCCAAGAAAAAAACCCTTCCTAGAAATATGCCCAAAGTATGTAAGGTGAAGCACTTCAGCTGCACCCTCTTCAAGACATACTTGTTTGTTCCTTTGACCACCAATGGGATATTCAGTGTTCTTCTCCAACACCATAGCTCAAAGGCATCAATTCTTCTTCTGTCATCTTTATTCATTGTCCAGCTCTCAGATGCATAGCAAGTGACCAAAAAGACCATGGCCTGAATCAGATACATGTTAGTCCTTAAACTGACATCATTACTCCGCAATAATTTGGAGATGTCTCTAACTGCAGGTTTTCCAACTGCAGTGTGTTTCCTTATTTCCTGGCTGCTGGTCCTAAGGATGTTAATATAATTTGTTATTTCTAAGCTACCACATAATCACAAACATTTTCACAAATCTTGCAATATTTTTCATTGAACTTGGGCAGAAAGCAGTGAAAAAATGGATTGTAATCAATACTACCAAGTTAGAAGAGCTTACAGGAAACTTTCAAGAATAGGCCTAAATGATCATACCAAATGTTTGGTCTTTTCCAAAGAGACTTTTACTTGTATAAACAAGAGAGCCAGGAAGCTTCCCTCTAGGATTATGTGGAAGAAAAGAAAATATTTGTACTTGCCATATCTTGCCCAAAACGACTTTTACAAAGCAGCACTTTTAAAAAGTATACATTTCTGCTCTGTGTCTTAGCTCATGTTTTCCATAGGATGTGGACATCAGTTTTCACCCTACATCATTTCCTCCTCATGTGTAGACACGCATTTCATGATCATTTATTCAATTACTGTGCAATGACCAAGTTATTATGAGTCTGTTGAAGAGGAAGAGAATAGGAGATATGACACAAGCACATTGCCCAAACCCGTATTCCCTGGAAACCTTCACTGGCATAAAAATATGATGTGGAGAAGATCTGGATGATAGTAAGTGAGTGTCTGATCATATCATACTGAATTTTAAGGAATGTATGTATGACTTAATTTTCCAAAAATAATGCTGATCTGTCAGCATTATATGTGTATAATGTTATTGCTGTTGTGTACCCTAATAGGCAGTAAAGAGTAAAAGAAATATCAATTCAAAGAAAAATTTTAATTCTCTGGAATATAAAGGAAGAATGAAATTACTATATATGTTTAGATTTCTGCTTTTTTATGTTAAAAAAAGCTTAATCATGGTGACTATTGAAATATTTCTCTTTTTTTAATACTTGGACAAATTAACTTCTAAAAAACTGCTAAAAATGTTTCAACTGTAGGGACCCATTATATTGCTTTAGAAGCTGTGAAAAATACAGTTGCCTCAGTTCTACAGAGATTTGATTCTATTGACCTGGTTGCAAGTTTGACAGCTCCCAGGGATTCAGATGTGAACCAACTGTTGTCATTTGGCAGCATCATGTCAACTATGACTCCTAGCAAACCCATGGACACTAGATCTGCATTTTGCCCTGTCCTGTGCCCTCCTCGTGATCTCTGCAACATTGTACCATCCTCTTACAGCTTGTTGTTGTTGACTGCCTTAGAGTAGAGCACAACTCATAGCGACCCTGTGAACAAAAGACCTGAAGGCTTTCTATAACGATTGCCGTTTCTCAGAGTTTCCAGAGGCGCATTGTTTAGGAAAAGGCATGTTGTTTAGGAAATGGATGCCACTCCTGATTCCATTTTACAGTTTAGCTCAGGTTGAATTCTACCTATCAAAGGTCAAGTAAAAGAAGCTACAGGAAAACTCTGAAATGTGCTCTCATTCCGTGTTGTCAGGCACCAACTGCTCTCCATTTTCACTGATCCAGGGCTTCCCACTGGGAACTTTCCCCAGCTTCAGTCTACCTTTGACTTTAATCTCCTTCTAACTCAGTTTTAATCTCCTTCCAACTGCTCAGTTTTCTAAGAGCAGTTGTTCTAGACTGGATCTTGCCTGACTAATTCAAGAAAAGGTATTAACAACTAATAGAAATGTAAAAATATTAATAAGAAAGGAACTAGTGAAACCCCCTTTCAGTTACCCTTGCCTTACAGGCACCTTCGGCATCTGTCGCTCAGAGTCAGGAAAGGAGAAATATACCGCAGAACCAGTAAGAGGAAAAAACCGCGGGAGTATGCTCTATTCAACATGTTGTCCTTGTCCCTAAAGCTTCCCTTTAATCTCCTGGTCTACTGGTCACCCAGTCATAAAAAGATAGTAGATAATGTCCATGATTATTTCTTTTTAAATTGTTGCCATGTTCTTGTTTATGTCCCACCAAGTTAGAACTGACTCCAGTGGGTTGTCAGAGGCAGTAAATCACATGGGAGGAGATTGTCCAACCTTCTCCCACAAAGCAGCTGGTAGGTTTGAACCATGTGCCTTCCAAGTGGTATCATGATTCATAAAACCTGAAATTATATTAGTTTTCTATAGTAATGTCTCTCATCCCCCAGTAGAACCACATCTATCCACATCTATCTTGAGCCATAACTAGTCCAGTCTCTCTAAATGTGATTATCTGCTCTGTTTTGGTTCTTCCTTCCAGGTGTATCTCATCAGTCACTGAGACAGAAACTAAGTGTCCATCATAGTTCCATGGTGCTTGAAGATGATGTGGAAAAATGTCCTTTCAGCAACCATGTTCTCTTTGTTATATGCAGCACATAGCTTTGCCAGGAGGGCAAGTCCTTGGGCCTGTGAAGCAGCCCACGTGCCCTCGATTCTTTTCACACTGATTGTTCTCATGTCTTCTTGCTACTTCTTCCTCTAAGCAGGTGCTGATCCTGGCTTCCTCTCTCATTTCTTGCCTTTGAATTATCTTCTCTCTTGACGTTGTGCACCTCAGCACCTGGTAACTAACTAGACTCTTCTTACTCTGACTCGTGCCTACCAGACTGACAGTCTATACAGCTGTGAACCCCTGACAACTGAAGCCCTCCTGACCTGGCCTAGGATGGAGCCCATGTCCTCAGACTGAAACGGACCTTTGCCTGGTGCTCCTGCCCAGCTGACCTCAAGCACACCTGGTTTTGGTGTTGCCACACCCTGCCCACATGCCACTTCCTTGCTGAGAATTGTGTACAGTATTCCTCTTTTGAGTGCTGTCTTGGTCTATATCTTGGTTAATTTACCAGGAGGAAGGATAGGCAAAAGTGGAATACGTGCACTGTTACACCTCTGCCTATTAGCCATTTAGCATTGTAGTCCGTTAATTTGAAATTCTTCTTTTTTCTATGAAGTGGACAAAAGAAGAGGTTCCCTATTCTCTGTGTGCCTCAGTTCTGCTGACCTCATGCTACTTTGATCATTAGATCATTTATTTAATTTTTCTATGTTTCACTCTGTGGGTTTCAAGCTCTGGTTGATTATTGGTTTATTTGGTTCCATTATATACTAGGTCAGCATGAGGTCAAGCTGGTAACTAAGAATACAACATTGGTTACACAAACTAAATACCATTAGGTAATTCAGGAGTAAAGAGGACACAATATAGGAGGAAGCCCAGAAGTGGTGGCAGCCACTCACCTGCTTGAGTAAACATCCCTGTTTAATAATGACTCCTCTGAATTCTTCTTTCAGAATCATGTCGTCGTCACTGGAATTCTCCTCACAGAAAAAGCCACTGTCTGGCTATTGAGACACCAAATACAAAGTTCCTTTTATCAGTCTTCAGGGTAATGTGACAGTATCAACTCCATTCTCTCCCCTATCCTCCAGTCACCATGTTTATCTCCTAATTTTCATTCCCCATCATGTGCATATCTCATTCTGAATTTTAAGGATTATGCTTTGTCAGCCATTTTCTCCCTCTATTTTATTTTTACATTTGTCCCATCCATCTTTCTGCTTTTCATAGGCTACTCATGCTAAGCTCTAAGACTAGCACACAATTCCTCATGATGCACATTTCATCTCTCAAAGCTTTTTCCCTCTTGGGGCCTCATAGTTGGATCCTTCAGGAGAGTGGGAGTGAATTTATAAGGCATCTGTGCAAATAAATCTGTTTCAATTTCCACCTCTTGCTTTGGAAAGACTGGAAGCAGACATCTTTGTCCTCTGAGATCAAGAGGGAACTGGGCCTGCCAGCTATAGACAAGGAGTCACTGTAGTGGGTATTTTTAGAATCTGCACTTAAATGGCTATAAAAAAACTTGATCAAAGTTTCAACCCAAATGAGAAATGAAAGTCTCTGGGAAATTTACTGGATGTGGTCAAAAAGGATGGTTGTTAAGCAGTTTCCTCACTTCCATTCTCTAAATTGGAATAGAATCTAAACTATCAAGGTCGCTTGAGAGATCTACTGCTGTGAGTTGATGTTGTGTAGCAAAATGTTTTCAATGCTCCTTGTGCCAGGAGAAGAATTCAAGACAACAGGAGGAGGTCATTGGATGAACAATTTTTGTTTTAACAGTTGTATAATTGTAATGTATCTTCGGGGAAATACAACTGGCATATCACACTTGTGATTCTGTGACTCCTCTTTCAGAAGGGCAGCTTCATGCCAGCCTGAACTTGTACTGTGTTGTCTTTTCACTGTTGTTATTTTTGTCTAGGAAAATGCCTGGCATGTGTTAGGAGTTACTGTTGTGTGCCATTGAGTTAACCCTGACTCATAGCAACCCTGTAGGGCAGAGTAGACCTGGCCCATCAAGGTCTCAGGACTATTTATCTTTATGAGAGCTGTCTGCCTCATCTTTCTCTCATGGAGCCACTGAGTGAGTCTGAACCACTGACCTTCCAGTTATCAGCCTGGTACTTTACTTAGTGCCTTCAGGGCTCTTTTGGTAATTACACACTTACTCATTATCATTGAGTTACAACTAACTCATAGCTGACCCTCCACTGGGAAGGCTTTATTGGCATGCACTGTTGCTGCTTTGAGGGGCTGATGAGTCAAGTACAACTCATAGTGACCCTGTGAACAGCAGATTTAAACCCTGTCCTATCCTGCACCTTCCTCACGATTTCTAACATCTACTAGGGCCTAATAAAGTTTTATAAGTGAACTATTGTATAGACTAAGAATCAATACATTCATATTTAATAGGTAAGCCAATTTAAGTAGAAGATTGAGTGATTAATAACTTTGTTTAAAATTATTTGCTTGCATGTTATGGGTGTTGAGGAAGAGAGCTGTCAGGTGAGCTGTCAAGTCTGCTGTAATAGATGCTCTGAGAGGGCCTTGCGGCTTCAGGAGTTTTGTGTGTGTGTGTGTGTGTGTGTGTGTGTGTGTATTTATCTCCCTGATGAGTTTCTCAAGCCCCTCTTCTCTCTAACAGCTCTCTGTAAGGCTGGGTCTGTCTTGGGTTTTGTGGATGAGAACAGAAACCAATCTAGGATCTTCCAAAGAAGACCAATTATATCAAGGAAGATACAGGCAGCTTTCTCACTTACAAAGTAGTAGAAGGCATCAGCATTGTCCAGAAAAGGGTTTTCAGTGGCACTGTCCACTGCATTCTTGGACAGGTCTCCAGCAGGCTGCAGGTACCCCTCGCTGAGGAGCGAGGAGGCAATCATGAGGCCTTCCTGGCGATTCCGAATAGACTTGTTGGATACCAGCCAGTCAATGACACAGTTACCTGGACAGGACCAGCAAAGGAAAGGTTAACTTTCTTTACAAAAGAGCAAGACCCTGACAATCACCTTTGAACTGTCTCCAGGGCAGCACACATGTGTCTGATTTGTCTCATCCCAATCTTTCCAAGAAAGGAGAACAATCATTGAGAAATATACCTGTAAACAAAAACAACTATATAAAGAGTTTTCTAAACACACTGCTTATGGGTAATACAAACCATTAGTATGTTTAACTACTAATGAAAATATTGACAGTTTTAATTCATTCAAAGGTGTCTAAGAAGAAAAGTCTGTCAATCTATTTCCAGAAGAATTGGCCACTGAAAACCCCATGGAGCACAATTCTGCTCAGGTCCTTGTGGGGTCAATAGGAGTCACAGCCAACTCCACATTAACTGGTTTTAGATGGCACTTAGGAGGCTGATGCATACAACGAAAAAATAGTTTTTACAAACCTATTCATTTTTTCCTTTAGTGAACAGAGATAAACAGAGCCTCTGATAGGGAGCTCTGGTGGCCTGGTGGTAAGGATCTGTGCTGCAATCCTAAAGGCACACAGTTTGAATTCACTAGCTGTTCCACAGGAGGATAGGTAATCTCCTCCTGTGTGATTAAATGCCTCTGAAAACCCACTGGAGGGTCACATATGGGTCAGTTCTGACTAGATGGCACACAGCAACAACATTCATTTATCCCTTTATTTAACAAAGATATAATGAGTATCTGCTAGGGGCTAAGCACAGTGATAGATTTAGGGATGCTGCATTTAAGGATTATAAAAGGATGACAAACAAGAAACTGTTATAATACATGTTCTGCTTTATATCGATGCAATGGAGTTGCTGGGTCAAAGCTGCAGAGAGCCATTGTGGGGAACAGTGGTGGGAAGAGACACTCTGCATACCCTATCAGTTAAAGCTTCTTAGAGGAAATGACACTGAGTTAGTGTTTAAAACAGGAGTAGGTAGGTGGTTTCCAAGTAGATGAGTCAAGCACTCAAAAAAGGCAGCACAGGCTGAGGGGGGAGCTCTGTGAGCAGATGCATGCAGGCGGGAAGCAGCCATGTGGGAAGGAGGAGGAGCCGTTGAAAAGGAGGCAAAAGGGGGCAAGAGAGAGGTGAAGGCACAGGGTCAGTGACAAGGATTTGGTGACACCTTAAGAAATTTGGCAATGAGGAGCCATTGCAAGTTTTTAAGCAGAGAAAAGCACAATCATGAAGAAAATCCATTACTGTCAAGTTGGTAGACTCGTGGCCCCCCACGTGTGTCCATGTAGAACTGCGCTCTGCAGGGTTTTCAATAGTTAACATTTTGGAAGGAGACTGTCAGGGCTTCTTTCCAAAAGGCCTCTGGGTAGACAACATTTTGCTCACCAACTGAGTGTGTTAAGCATTTGCACCAGCTGGGGACTTCCAACATATCATGTATGTCTTAAATTAAAATTAGACTGGAGATAACTGGAAGTAGAGTGTCCAGAGAGCTAACAGGGGCTTGAGAAGCAATTTACTTAAACCACTCCCTTAAGATGAAACTGTGACGGGGATGAAATTAAGTTGATCTATCAACTGAATTGTACAGGAGGCTACCAGCAAGCTTTGTAAGAGAAGTGGTGTGTTCTCTACAAATATATACAGTGTGGAGGCCGATATACTAGGTGGGCAATCTCCTCCTCTGCAATTTATACGTTCAGGAATCTAGTGGAATGCAAGAAATGAGTTGAAATTGACTCAATGGTAATGAGCCAGAAAATGAACTGTTAGAGCCCATGAATGGTACAAATAGTAAACACATTTGTTTGCTAACAGAAGAGCTGTCAATGTCTTCCACCCAGGGATGCCAAGGAAGAAAGATCAGGCAATCTAATGCCAAAAACTCAGTCACTGGAAATTATACAGAGCATAGTTGTACATGGACACAAACAGGTCACCATGAGTTAGACCTGGATTGAGGGCAACTGAATTTTATGAAAAATCAGTCCTATGGGGCTGGCCAATTCCTTTACCACTACACACATTCTGCCTTCCTCTACCTACAAAGCCTTTTCTACACCAGTTCATCCTAGTCTCTTCATCAGATATCATCTCCACACTTCATGAGACTTTACTCATCTAAGCATCACCCCTTTTCCATCCCTTTTTCTAAAGTCCTAAAAATGATTGTATGCACATGTGGCACCTTTAATCATAATAAAAATGCCAAGTACTTGCACCAAATCATACATACTTACTATGTGTCAGGCACCATTACAAGCACATTACAGTAAGCCTAGAAAGTAGATTCAAGTCATTATCTCCATTTTGCAGTTTGCAAAGTGAAGCAAAAAGGTTACATAATTAGTCCAAGGTTTTCTAACTAGTAAACTAAAGAGTCAGAAATAAATCCAAGCCATCTGGCTTCATCAAGCATATTTTTAACTACTGCACTCTACTACAGCTCACAGACTTGGAGGCAAAGATGGTGAAGCTTCATCTCACATACTGTGGACATGTTGTTAGGAGAAGCTATTCCTTGCAGAGGGACATTAGGCTTGGAAAAGTGGGGGTTGGCCAAAGAGAAGACCTTTAGCAAGACCGATTGACATTGTGACTGCAGTGATGGGATCAAGTGTATGAGAGGTGATGAGGATGGCACAGGATAGGACAGGGTTCAGGTCTGTTGTCCATAGTGTCGCTACTAGTTGTACTCAGTGGTACTTAACAACAACATATTATACTGCCTAAACTCATAATAGTTTATGCTTGACCTGGAGCAGTCATGCCTAATATTTTTATTTTTATTAGGCATGCCTAATATTGATGTTTACATCTTATTTTATGTTTTAATCCCTATTTATGGTGGTAGGGAATCACATCTTACTCAATTCTGTGTCTGCTCTCAGCCATTTCCAAACTAATGCCATTGTTAAAGAAAACTGGCCCTTCAACTATTACATTTAGAACTTCCAAAATGTTATCTTCAACAGTTAAATTCATGACTATCCTTCTCTCTTTTTCCACATACAGAAAGTTTATTTCTCAAGTCTGTAGTCTGTACCTCCACTATGCTCCATGCCTCCTAAGCTCACACTCAAGATCGAGCAGAAATCTGCATCAACTTCCTCAGCATCCCCATTTCATGCTTGCAAGGCCTTTTTACCTGTGAAGCAGTGATTAAAAATCTTCTTGTCCTTCTCAAGATTCAGTTCTTTTATTCCTTTTTCGGTATCTTTCATGGACAAGTACAAGGCACTGCACAAAGATGAAAACAGGTGAGTAGGAGAGCTTCAGAGTGGGAAAGGCAGACATGAGTGGGAGCACGTCTGAGTGGGAGCCGCCATAAAGGGGAGGCCAGATATGAGCACAAGCTCCCTGTCCCCCAGGCAGCCCAAGTCTAATCTTCTTACCACATCGTAAGTAGTTAAAGGGCAGAGTTTATAGATGCCTAACTTTATGGCCTATATAGCACTTAGCAAAATTAAAATGCAAAATGAAGGTACTAAATGTATCCTGAATTTATTATATGTCTTGGTCACTTAACTCCTGGTGTATGGGATGGAGGATTTCCCCAAGATTAATGTTTTAACTAAGCTTACCTCTTAAAGATAATAAGAGGTAAGGCAAAACTTTGTCCTAGAAATGATAAATCAGAAATATCCTGCTCAGAGTATTCCTAAGAAGGAGGATTGAATGCCACTTACGTAGATCCTGTGGTGCCAGGTAGCCAGAGTGTCCTTCCACCTGGCTCTGCTGGCGGTGGCCAGGAATATCCTCAGCTGGCACATGTAACTAGTCTAGGTGTTGGCTTTTGGTTGATTCTTTGGTATAAAAGCCTCTATGGTGAGGAGAGCTGCTCAGTCCCACTAAGTTCCATTCTCTGACTTTATCAGGTTCCCAAGCTACACCAGAGTCCTGGGTTAGGCTTACAAAAAGGGTGTTTTCAGTTCCCTCTCAGCAGCTACCCCCACCACCTAACGAAAATTCCCATTAGACGTGTTAAGCAGTCAGTATGGGATTCCTCCAACAAGGCTGCTGCTTCACATTTGCTTGATATTAAATAACAACAAGCAGGAAAAAAAAAACCCAAAACAGGTTTCTAGAAATAGAGGCTCACATGACAGGAGAAAACATAAGACATGAAATGAGCAAGAAATAAAGGACCTTGCTCCCCACCTCCATCAGAGATGGAATTCACCTATTTGCTTCTGATTACCTTTGGGATACAACTCTTAACCGGGAATCCTGGGGAAACCAACACCAAAGCCATTAAACCATATCAGGGTATTATTATCATCACCATCATCATCATCATCATCATTGGCCCCACCAGGAACTTGCTGTTGTGAACACTTGAATTTGATTTCTTGTTTGCTTAGGAACACAATACTTGTCTTTCCTTCTCCATTTTTCAAGATTATATCATGAGTGATTCACCAATTCAATGTAAGTTTCCCTAGTTACCCAAAACTTTCTCCATTACCTTCCTTAGCAGAAAGGCCAAGAAAAAGACCAGTATCAGAGAGAATGAGTACAGCTGTCAAAATTGGCCGGAGCAAGTTGTGGAGTCAGATCTGTGCTGAGATTTCCTCAAAGTGAGGGAAGGCAGATGGGGGAAGGAAGGAAAGGGCAGAGAGAAGCAAACAGAAGCAAACACCTTAAGTCTATGGTTTCTGGAAGTCTGATGGATCTCCTGGTGGATTTCCTCGCAAACTTCTGTCCTCCTTCAATACATTTAATGGCTTTCTTGGTGTCCCGAACCCAGGCATCTCTCTCCTCCAGGAATGCTGCCTGAAAGAAGTGGTCTTGCTGTTTGGTAGTGGTGATCTTAAACACAAACTGAAAAACAAAGCACATCCATTAAGATTAATGCCTTTGAAGAGACTGAGGCCCCTTATGAGGCAGAAACAGCTAACTCTGAAAACGGTCAGTCTATGATGCTAGACTAGAGCGTGGTGGGAGGGACTGGCTCAGAGAGTACCAATCATGTCACAGGTTTGTCAGGGCAGGGCCCGGCCAGGTCTTCCCTGTGGCCAGCAAGGCCAACTCACCGTTCAACTCACCATTCTTTCTTTCTTTTTTTTTGTTTGCTTGTATTTGTATTTTATTAATTTTAATGAAAGTTTACAGAGACTTAGGATTTCCAGTCATTCATTGTTGTACTTTTATCCCTGCCCACCTCCTCCCCCTCAATTCACTCTTCTCCTTGAAAAGTAAAAGAAAAACTCTTTCATTGATATACAACCCCTTTCCCCAAGTCCGCTCAACTATGCAGCTTTCACTCTTGACTTCTGTAATGACAAGAATACCATTCATATGTCCCTTTTAAACAATTCTCTCCCTCATCTATTTCAATGCAATATACATCATTTCTCCCCTCCTTTTCTGTCTTCCCTCAACCCTGATGTCAGTCCCGTTTTACAACAGTGGCCCTATTTTTACCCTCATGAAACTGTAACTGTGACCCCCACACACACCCATGTTTTTTGTGGCTTTGTTCACAATAGCAAAGAGCTGGAAACAACCCAAGTGCCCATCAACAAACAAAGGGATAGAGAAGCTCTGGTTTATTCACACAATGGAATACTATGCAGCATTGAAAAACAAGGAACTCATGAAATGCTATGCAAAATGGATCACCCTGGTGGACATTATGCTGAGTGAAATACCTCAGTCACAAAAGAACAACTCACCATTCTTTTGCCAAAGTCCTGACAAGGGCTCGTCAGAGTGCTTCCTTTCAAGGGGATCATTCCTTTGGGGCTGTTGTCACTCTTCTTCTTATAGAATTCAATTCCATCTTCCAGCAATACAACCCACATGGGTTTCCAGGTGTTGAACACACTGCCCTGAAATCACAACAAAGAAAAGCTGACATGGGTAGAGGTTCTTTGTATACTATATTTTCTTACTAAACTAAATTATTTCGTAGTTTCATAGAATTGGCTTGTGAAAGTTTCACATAATTGGCTTTAAAAATATGTTATGACATCAAAGCTTCCACTGCCTTGACACCAGGAGAATTAGATGGTGGTGCTTAATGACTACTACCAATCACACCAATGGAGATGATAGAAAGTTCTGGAAAAAGGAGAAAAAGATGTTGTTTGTTGTGGTTGTTTTTATGTGCTGTCAAGTTGCTTGCCACTCACAGCTACCCTATGTACAACAGCTCTAAACTCTGCTCTGTCCTGTGCCAATCTCATTGTCTTCGACACACTCATCTGAATTGCCCCAGTCACCGAATCAATCCACCTCCCAGAGGGCCTTCCCCTCCTGAGCCTGTCCTCCATCCTCCCAAGCATGATGTCCTTTTCCAAGCACCGGTCCCTCCTTACAACATGACCAAAGTATGTCAGACGAAGTCTCAGAATCATTGCCTCCAAGGAGCAGCCCACTTTTACCTTCTCTAGGATGAATCTGTTTGTTTTCTTAGCAGTCCATGGTACCCTCAGCACTCTTCTCCAACACCAACGCTCAAAAGCATCAATTCTCCTTCTATCCTCCCTGGTCATTGTCCAGCTCTGTGATGCATAACAAATGATTGCAAAGACCATGGCCTGTACCAGA